GAAAATCTTTTTTTTTTTTTTTTTTTTTTTGAGAGTTTTTTTGCTATAGGATGCGTACGCTCGCCGAAAAGACAGACAGAAAGCGAGAAATCACTCCCCAGAGGGGGTGGTCACGCCACAATCCCTTCTCCTCCATTCTCCTCTCGGGATCTTGGGCATGCACGCACATGCGCCTGGTGTGAGTTTAAGCCACTGGGTTCGGGACTCAAACCGAGGTCGACTACCTGGGAGTCCAGCGACACAGCCTTCATGCTAACTGCTGGTCTCTCCACAAGGTGATTTTTAAATTCCACAAGTGGTTCTACCATTTACCGTTGAGAAGAGGCAGGAGTGAAACAATTGACCAAGCTTTAGGTTTCTTCATTTACCCCATTGTACAACTCTTGATTTTTATTATGGAATGGTTTGTCAAGGAGCGCATCCTATCCCAATTCTCTAGAGCATGAGGCCTTTGGTTTAATCCTGGTTTCCGGCTGATACAGGATTGCTGAAGGGGTGACTGGGCTGGTCCTGGACCTGGGTGTGCTTCCAGGGGCCCCAGGAGAGCTGTGAACATGATTCTGAGAGCAACAAAGTCACCCGTATGCTTGGTGGGCAATCACACGTGTGAGACATGAGACAAAACCTTCCTGACTGGGAGGCGTGAGGCCAGGCTGTTGGAGGACCCCAGGCTTGGGCCTGCCAGACCAGGGGATCTGGGGACCAGGAACGGCACCTGCACTCCTATATCTCATGCAGAAGTAACATGCATGCCGGCGTGCACTGACAGGAACGCACGCTCTCTGCGTGAGGCATTCCCATTTTGCAAAAAGAAAACCAAGGCTTGAAAGAACTATAAAGCAAGCAGAACTGGAAGAATTTTATTCACTATCAAATGAATAAAAGCTTAACACTTTGATGTGTGCACATGGCCTAATTTGATTTTCAGACCAAGATTTTGACATAGGATGCATGTGCTCACCAAAGAGACAGAGATTAGGAAAACGAGAAATCCCCCCCAGGGAAATGGGGACACATTTCTTTCTCCAGTCTCAGGATCTGAGGCATGCACGCACACACAGGTGCCCAGCGTGGTTCTGAAGACCCCAGGTCTGGGGCTTGAACCATGGTTGGCCACGTGGGAGTCCAGCCACCTTAACTACCACACCACCTGCTGGCCATTGTTTTAAGTCAGACCACCCATTTAAACAATGGCTGCTGACATTTCAGTCTTGCTATTAGAACATCATGTGATAACATTTACAAACATTTTGAGAAGTTTTTGCAAGACAAAGAAAGTGAGAAATCGCCCCCCCAGGGGGGATGGCCACGCCACAATCTTCTCCTCCATTCTCCTCTCAGGATATTGGGCACACACGCACGGGCTCTCAGCTCGAGTTTAAGCTACTGGGCTCAGGATTTGAACCGCGGTTGACTACATGGGAGTCCAGCGACAGCCATTATGTTAACTGCCGGTCCCACAAACTTAGTATTTATAATACTCCTGATTTACCACTGAACTTTCTGCTCAAGATGCAGTCCTTCCCTAACCAAGTGAAGTGCTGGCATCCCTTCCCCCTGACCCTCAAATGCCCACCAAACACAAGGGACCCCAAGCGATCTGCCCTTCAGAACACTTGGGGTATCATCAGTACAGATGAGGAAACTGATCCAGGTGGAGGACCAGCCATAGGGCAGTGTTGACAGGACTGGGCTCTGTGAGGGCTTGATCTGACCACCTACCTACTAGTTACGGACAGTTCACGTTGGGCTGTCGGTAAGTGATATGCCATACTTCAAGTCCAGGGGGAAGGAGGAAAAGCAGTACCACAGGGCTGTAGATGTCACCTGTCTTGTGAGTCCTTACTGGTCCACAGTGGCTCTTCAGTGTATAAAACTAGAGTTAGAGCAGTCATAACCCCCCTTACCCAGGTCCCTAAATCTACTCCCCTTGCCTTTATATAAACATTAATACCTGAAGCTCATTTTCTGAACTTTGTGAAAAGGGCACTGTGCTCCATGTCATTTGCTGCAAATTTAACCTAGCTGTATGTTGTTTTTGTGTCTGTAGTTTTGTTTTCATGGAGAACCAGCCATCTCCCCAACTGGCTGTGCACCCTGCAAAGTGGATAGTGAGATCTTCACCAAGGGTAAGGTGCTCGTTTGTTTTGTCATGGGGTGTGTGTGCTTGCACAGAGATAGGTGTGATGTCATCCCACAAGGGGTTATGGCCACAATCCCTTCCTTCTCTTGGGATTTGGGGGCATGCAAGCACACACATCTGGTATGATCTTCAAGCCACCAGGTCTGGGACTGAACCATCTGGGTCAGCCATGTGGAAGACCAGTGCCGTAACCACATCACCTGCTGTCCCTCACCAGAGGCTCTCTAAAGCTGAGGGCTGTTACCCCATTCCCAGTGTGGGGGACACACCTATCACACATACCTATCCACGTAGGTAACCTGGACAAGAAGCCGTCTGCTCTGGCCCTCCTCCCACCCCGTGTGGTCTCCAATGCTGCACTCTGAGGCATTCTTGCTAGTGCAGGCTGTGCTGTGTCTCACCCGGGGACGGTGGCAAGGAGAGCACCCAGCTCATGTTGTGGCACAGGGAGAGGTAGAAATCCGGTGTCACAGAGGTGAAGGCCGCCAAGCCCAACAGCAGCAAAGAGTTCAGCTTTTTATTGAACACATTACAAAATAGATTTAGTCAAAAAGACCAAAGCCCATGTCATCATCCGATTCTTCAGATTCTTCCTTCTTTGCTTCTACTTTCTTCTCTTCAGCTAAAAAAAAAGGGGGGGGGGCAACCATACCTCTCAATCTGGAGTTCTTAGGAGGCTCCCAGCCTAAAATCTGCATGCTTGAAAATACCCACCTCCCTCCCTCCCCCATGAAGCAATGCCTCGGGTCTCAGGTCGGCCACACTCCATCTTTTGGAGCAATCCCACCTATCCTGCTTTTGGTTCTCCAGCCCTCCCTTCCTAGGCTGGTGTCCTACCTGGAGCAGCAGCAGCTGTGGGGGCTGGACCTCCAGCAGGTGCAGCACCAGCTGCTGGTGCAGGTCCACCTGCCCCTACGTTGCAGATGAGGCTCCCGATGTTGACATTGGCCAGGGCCTGCAAAACACACACACACACACACACACACACACAGATGAACACTCAGCTGTCCTGCTGTGTGGCCCTCACCCAGCCTCACCCTTCCAGCCTTCAGTGACACACCCGACACTATCCTCATCCTCCAGGACATGGCACAAGAGTTAGTGCCATTACAGCTCCACTTGTCAGAGGTTTGGTAGCCAGTACAACAGGAAGTGGCTAGTGGGAGCTTCGGGCTGCAACCCTGTCTTCCTTAGCTTCTTCCCCACAGTAAAGTGGTCAATAAACTCACTAAACCCAATTCTGGTTAAGCCAGACTATCACACTGAAAGCTCCGTAGTTCCTACAGATAACAACGGCTCTTCATCAGGCCCCACGGAAAGGGCCTTCTGGCACTTTGGGGATTCCATTAGCATGTACACCGACCTAAGAAATCACTTTCGTGATGGCCTCACCTTCGCAAACAAGCCAGGCCAAAAAGGTTCCACGTTTACACCAGCTGCTTTAATGAGGGCATTGATCTTATCCTCCTGAAACAAACAAAGCGCCAATCCGTCATGGAGCACGGGAGCTGCACCAGCGTCTGGGAAACACCGCAGCTTCAGGCAGGTCACTCAGGGCGCGTGCACGGAACCACGCCTATCCCGTCGATACTCTCGCTGGACTTCCTGTGAGATTCTCCTAGAATGACCGTTTTCCTATTTGACAGTTCTCACTAGCAACAAGCAGGATGTGCCAGGCGTCTGGCAAGGCGGCGGGCTCAGCGGCGGTTTCGGGGAGGAACAGCGGCGGCACAGAGCTATTTTAAGCTCCTGGGAGCTGGAGCTGGACAGCTGCGGCCCACCGCGCAAGCGCCGGTCCCGGCAGGCCCAGGACCGGAGACTCAAGGCAATCGGAGCCGAGAGGTACGATTGGGTGTCCCGGGGAGAGCTCAGGTGCGGATCGCGATGCCCAAGCGCTGCGGAAAGCTTTTCTAAACAAGGGTGTCTTGGAATCAGAGAGCCCGGCAGCCAAGGCAGCCCAGCCCCACTGGCAGCCCCACTGGGTCCGCACGTGGCCCAGAGACCGGAAGGCCTGGGCCGCCCCGCCGCCAGCCGGGCCGCACTCACCGTGACGGTCACCTCGTCGTCGTGCAGGATGAGGGCCGAGTAGATGCAGGCGAGCTCGGAAACGGAGGCCATGGTGAGGCGGGCGCGGAGCGGGCGCTGCCGGACGCGGTGCTAGTCGCCGGATGAAGTGAGGGCCTCACCCCAACGCGGCCTTAGCTTCCTCGGAAGAACCGAGCACCTTGGCGGCAGCTGAGCAAAGGGGGCGCGTGAGCCTGCGCGCAACTTCTTATATGGCCGAGCGGACCAATCGGCGCCCGCCCCGGGCGGAAGGGGAGGAGCCGGCGAGGGCGGGCGGGGCCAAGGCACTTCCGTCGCTCGCTCTGCGTGGTCGGCCTCCCAGCGCCTGCCAAGGTGTAAAGCGCTCGATTTGGGCAAAATGCAGGAGCCCCGAATATTAGAAATACTTGAAGAAAAAAGCCCTGTAGGCGAATGGACCTCGCACCCATGTTCTGTGGGCCACTTGACTCGGCAGGGGCTTCACGATGGCCTTGTGAGACCCGCCGCGGTGCTGTCCTGGAGGACTAGCTGACACCTGGGGCTCCACTGCCAAGATCCACTTAACCCTTGCACAGCACTGCAGGTGGGTGCTGCTTTCCATCGCGCAGCTGACATATACCTGGTAACCAGCCCAGGGTTACACAGAGCACAAGGATGGGGATAGTGGGACCTGTTTTGGAATCCGGAAGCCGGATTTAGGGGCTTCATGCTTCTGTGTGCTGGGACTGTGGGATTACACGTGAATTTTGTCTTCTCCCTTTTTTTTGATACATCATGTCTACAGCCCCTACATATGATCTGAAACATAATTTTAACTCCTGCCTTCAGAATGGTAATCACATTCCTGTTCATTCCTCTTGGGATTTGATTAGTTTTCTGGAAACACTATTCAAATGTTGGGTGGTAACTTTTATTCAGCCAATGCCAGTACCTCATAATCATCCCTGACCAAACTTTTCCATTGGAATCCCCTAAACTAGGGTCCCATTTTTGGTCAATGTTAGCCACAAACAAACATATTTTACTATCCCAAACTGTTAAAAAATATTTTTAAAGCTATCAAACTTTAAAAAAAAAAGGGTCTAACAAATAACATGCACACAGTAAAAGAAAACTTTGCCCATTTCTTTTTTTTTTTTTCTTTTTTTTTGGGGGGGGAGAGGTTTTCGCTATAGGGCACGTGTGCTAGCCAAAAAGACAGAGAGACAGAAAGCGAGAAATCACCCCCCAGGGGGATGGCCACGCTGCAATCCCTTCTCCATTCACCTCTCGGGATCTTGGGAACGCACGCACATGCGCCTGGTGTGAGTTTAAGCCACCAGGTCCGGGACTCGAACCGTGATCAACTTCATGGGAGTCCAGCGACATATCCATTACGCTAACTGCTGGTCCCAACTTTGCCTATCTTAAACTGTAGTCTACTAATAAGAAACCTTTTATTCCTTTTGCCAGAGGGCATGTACACCCACCAGAGAGAGAGAGAGAGAGAGAGAAAACAGCCCCATGGGGTGACACTGCAGGAACTTCTCCATTTCTCCCTCCTTTAGGGAGTTTGGGCACACATGCACCCACATCTGGACCAGGACTCAGACCAGGCAGTCAACCATGTAGATCCAGCTACCTTAAACTTGACATCAGCTAGCTCAGGAACTCTTTTTAAATAGAATACTTTATTCCTCAAGTAGTTTTATAACAGTAGTTATAAAACAAGAACTCTACAGTACAAAAAAAAATTATAAACTGGCCTCAGGCCTCATTTATGAATGTAAACACAAAAACCCGAATTAAGACTAAAATGCAAGCCCTATAAAAATACTGTATGTTGGGACCAGCAGTTAGCGTAATGGCTTTGTCGCTGGACTCCCGTGTAGTCGACCGCGATTCGAGTCCCGGACCTGGTGGCTTAAAACTCACGCCAGGCGCATGTGTGTGTGTGCCAAAGATCCCGAGAGGAGAATGGAGGAGAAGGGATTGTGGTGTGGCCATCCCCCCTGGGAGGTGATTTCTCGCTTTCTGTCTCTGTACACAAGGCGCCCCATAAAAAAAAACCCCCCAAAAAAAAAAAAAAACACAGTTATGTCGGGGCAGCCAGGTGGCATAGTGGTTAAAGGCACTGGACTCCCCACATGGGCAAGGTCATTCAAGCCGTGGACCTGGTGACTTGCTTTCTCCCCCTCTCTCTCCTCTCTGCTCAAACAGGAAAATAATACTAATAAATAAAATAATTCTTTTTTAAAAAGATGTAATTATTTTATTGTCATTTATTTATTTATTTATTTGAAGTTGACTAGAGAGAGACAGAAGTGAGAAAGTAAGCTGCCAGATTCGGGACTCAAACCTCAGTCAGCCAGGTGGGAGTCCAGCCACCTTAACCACACCACCTGCTGTCCCCAATAAAATAATTGTTTAAAAACATACAGTGTATGATGACTAAACAGGATATTTCATCATAACAATCTAAAAATTAATTCTACTAACAAAGGAAAGTCTAGATGGAATTCATATGGGTTCAGAAGAACCATTTAATAAAATCCAACAGCTATTCACATAGACTTTTTGTTTTGTTTTGTTTCTGGAGAGTTTTTTGCTATAGGGTGTGTGCAGCTCGCCAGAAAGACAGCGATAGAGACAGAACACAAGAAATCACACCCCCCAGGGGGAGGGGGGGATGGCCACTCCACAATCCCTTCTCCATTCTCCTCTTGGGATCTTGGGCGTGCGTACGTACACACACACACACACACACACACACACACACACTTGGCTTGAGTTCAAGCCACCAGGTCTGGGACCCAAACCGCAGTCGACTACATGGGAGTCCAGCAACATAGCCATTATGCTAACTGCTGAGCTCCCTATTCAAATAGACTCTTAGAGAAAACTGGAGAAGGTAACTTCCATAACCTGATAAAGAACATCTGCCAAAAATCCATAGCATGGGCCAGCCAGGTGGTATGGTGATTGAGGCAGGTAGACCCCACATGACCAACTGTATGGGTCAAATCCCAGCCCTGGTGGCTTGAAAAACACGTGTGCGTGCATACCCACAGTCCCAAAAGGAGAATGGAGAAGACTGCAGCATGGCTATCCCTCCTTGGGGGTAATTTCTCACTTTCCCTCTCTCTCCAGCAAGTGCACACACCCTACTGAAAAACAAACAAAACAAAAACTTAAAAAAACAACTATTACTGAAACAATTGGTTTTCTAGCCCAATGGAGGTATGGGTGGGCATAGAATGTTTTAATTCTTTCCTAACACCACATATTGTGAAAAATCTTAGAAGAAAAATAGAAAATATTAAGACACAAAATATGAAGGGCAAGACTGTTTGATTACATTGAAATTACAGCCTAAGACAAAAACATACCATTAAGTCTGAGCCACTGAAGGAGGCATGGTGACCACCTATAACATGCTGTCCAGATGGGATCCTGGAAGAGAAAGGTCGTGGGGGCCCAGGCACAGTAGCAGATCAGCGCAGAGTGGATGGTCATCATGCAACTTTGTATTTCTTAGTGCTTTTTATTTCAATTCTTTTGGCATATCTAAATGGCACAAAACGAATATACACATACAAAATTCAAAACAACTTCCAAAAATGGTTTTATTATTGGCCAGTCAGTGACATCTTTATTTTGAACATGTGAATTCTCAAATGTCTAAAGTGCATTCTTGCAGCTAATAAATAGCAGCATTTATTTATAAAAACTTGAGAAATACTCAGACCAGAACTTGCAAAGTCACAATAAAAAGTGAAGTGTGATCTAAATAGTCTTCCTTAATCACCCAAGACAAAAACACTTGCATCCATGAGTTTATAAGTATATAAGAAACATACAAAAAACAGCATTATAAAAAAAGTTCATACAGCAAAAGAGAAAAAAAGGGCATTCCTCTGCTATTATTAAATACGACAAGGCATAGAATACAAGTTTGCGGAATCCAAATGTCTTTGGAACGTAGGGGAAGCTTTGATCCAGGCAGTGCATGGCGCAGCTGAGGGAGAGTCAGAAGACCACTTCTGGCATGGTTTATGAGTTCAGCACAGCTGAGAATGTTCTTCTGCTACTGGGACTGTGGGTTCATGGCTTTTTGCGTCTAAAACAAAATAGTATTGCAGTTTGCAATTAGTGACATATTCATAGCACTTGAGTCTTTAGAAGGGCTTTAAGAATTGCTGTTTTGCCATGGGAAAATTCAGGTCCTTGTGAGAAAGCTATTGTAGAACATGCCTATCTAGTACTAAACTTAGAAAACACCACTTCCCACCTTGATCCTGTTGAAATGATTTTCCAAACTATCTAAGGAACACAACTGCCAAAAATGTTGTGTGTGTGTGTGTGGGGGGCAGACAATACAGGAGAAGGTTGCTGGTTTGAGTCCCGGGACTTCCCAAGGTATGCCAGACATGTATGTGCCCATAACGCAGAGCTGGCCGAGGCTGGGGGGTGGGGTGGGTATTGTGGCTTCAGTATGCTGTCAGGTGCATGTCAGGTTTATCACTCATGGGATAAACTTTTTTTAAAGAAATGTTATATAGGTAGATATTTATACCAAAAGGGCTTCATGAAAACATGGAGAAAGAATGGGTCAGACTCCTGAGTATGGGTTGAACTCCCTGCCATAAATTCCACCGCTCAGTTTGCTATAGCAAGACCAAGAAGCAAGTCAGAAAGGGAATTACACAAAGGTGCTCTCGGTTCAGCCTCAGAAAGCGTGGTGAGCACTGGAAGAATATGAACAAGAGGAACGAAGCCCTGTCACTCCTGTCCTCGCAGCTCTGACCACTGGTACCCAGCCCTCCAAGGTTCTGGCACTGCGCTGCCTACTGCCGCCCGCCAGAGGGCCCAGAGTGCCAGAGGGGAAGGGAGGACCATATATTTGTTCCTAAAGATGGGGGGGGTGGTTGGCAGAGAGTGATGGTGCAAGTACTAGAGGAGGAAGGCACCCGCGGCAGGGCCCCAGTTAGTCAGTGCTCACTTGGGCTGTGCGTGATGCTGATATCCGGGCCCCAGCTGAGATCCTGCTCGCATCTCCACAGCCACAGAACACTGAGGGAAGGCAGAAGAGGGAGAGATCAGCCCGAGACAGCCTATATGAAACACAGTTCTGTTCAGATAGGTCCTAGCCCGGTGAGAGCCAGCACTGCCTTCTGGTTGGCCAAGACTCCTATGTTCCAATAGCTGTCAGGTCCTCGCAAGTTACCTCTGGCTTGGCCACACAGGTTGTGAGTCAGGAGGGCCTTTAGATGCCATCCAGGTCTCTTCCCTCGTTTGGGGTATGGGAGAGTTCTTGACATGTTAGTGTCCAGGGCCGGAGCTGGGCATCCTGGCAGCCCCACCGCCCCACCTTCCCATGTTCTTTCCGTATCACACCTCCTCCAGTTTGATGTGTGATATTCTGACTTGATTTTTGAGCCCTATCCCTCCCTGCACTGAAAATACAGCCTTTTGAAACGAAGGCTCCAGTAAGAGCGGGCCTGAAGAAACAAATACTTGTGCAGGCTGGCTAGGAGCAGACCAACCAGCTCGCCTGCGAGGTCAGCTCGGGCTACAGCACCCTCAAGGGGCCTGTACTACAGAAGTGGGGTCTAAAACATGGCTGACCATTTTCTCTTCTTTTAAATTCTGCCAAGCGGACACGTACTAAAGAGAGGGGGGGAATGAGAAAACACCCCCCACGGGGGATGGTCACACTGCAATTCTCCCTTTCTCCCCCACCTCATGATTCTAGGCACCAACACACACGTGCCTGGCATGCTTCCCAAGCCACTGGACCTAGGACTCAAATTGCACTGTCAGCCATATGGGATCCAGCCAGTCTAACTACCACACTACAGGCTGGCCCAGCAGGCCAGATTTTTACGAAGCAGGAAAGTATTAATCTGTCCCTACCCTTGTTTCTACATCGGTCCATTCAGACTCTGCGCCATCTGGCTGGGCAGGTGCTACAGTGGAAGATCTTCGTTTTCGACTGCAAAGGGGGAAAACACGGCAATGGTTATCGTGGTATCTGAAATCAGGAACGATGTTAGAAATGGGGATGTGCCCTCTCTGCCCCTTTAGAGAATGAGTGACAGATTCCCTGGCGGCCTGTCCCTTGAGTACAAGCAGCTCAGGGAACGACAGCCTCTTAAAGTGACACTGTCAATGATCACTCACCCATTTGGCGACTCTTGTTTTAAAGTCTCAATATCAGTAAACTGAACAGATTGTCCACCGCCCCTTGTTTTATAAACATCACCCTAAAGCCAAGAGAAAAGGCCACAGTTATACTTCAGCATATCCAAATGATAAACACACATGCATCATATTTTAAATTGATCTCAAAATTCTGCTGTTTTATGGAAACTCCCACCCACAAAACCATACTACCGAGGTATGCAGACAGCTGTGTACCTGCGTCATCTCCCACTAAACAAAAGCCCAACAACATATCATCAGTAACATTCATGACTGAGAAAATCCCTTCTTGTTCCACCTATAACTTAAAAACTAAACTGCCACTGAAGATCAGGAAATTGACCAGAAACGGCTGCATGTTGTTAAGGCTTTGTCCGTTCTTATCTTGCCCTGTCATTTTCAAGTGACATTACCATATTTTGTTTAATTATGATAAGAACTATCCTTTAAACTGAATTTGGAATGGAAAGTATCTGTTTTCAGTCCCACCTTTTATTTTCTTGATTATTCATTGACAATGATCAAAGGAAAATTCTAGACAAACAAGTCTCTTCTTTCTGTGAAGGGGCTTAGGTAGCGAGCTCAACAATGAGTAATCGTGATAAGTCAAAATATTTTTTAAGTTGTTTTTTTTTTTTTTTTTTTTTTTAGAGATGTTTTTGCTATAGGGCGCATGCGCTCACCACAGAAAGTGAGAAATCACCCCCCAGGGGGGATGGTCATGCCGCAATCCCTTCTCCATTCTCCTCTCGGGATCTTGGGCACGCACGCACACGCGCCCGGCGTGAGTTTTAAGCCACCGGGTCCGGGACGCGAACCGCAGCTGACTACG